AGAGACGGGGTCTCGCTCTTGCTCAGGCTGGTCTAGAACTCCTGACCTTGAGCTATCCACCCGCCTCGGCCTCCCAGAGTGCTAGGATTACAGGCGTGAGCCACCGCGCCCAGCCCTGATGGAGCTTTTAATGAAAGGTTTTCTCTGAGTGATGATGAGATGGGCAGTTTTTACTTTTAGCGCAGGATCTTCCCACACCGGCCGCTGCCCAACAGAAATACAACGTGAGGCACATAAGCAGTTTTAAGCTTTCTAGCAGCCACATTAAGCAAGTAACAAGAAACAGGTGAAATTAACTTGAACACTATGTTTTATTGAGCCTAATGTATCCAGATGGTATTATTTCCACTATAATGAATATGAAAATCATTAATGAGACATTTTACCTTTTATTTTTACTCTGGCTGTGAAATCCAGCACGGGCTTTGGATTACAGACCCGTCGCATTTCAGATGCCTGACAGCCACGTGGGCCGGTGCTGGATGTATCAGACAGCGCTGTGTACTTTTTATTTATTTAAAACAATAAGCAGGCATAATTTCTATAATCATATAAAAAATCGTAAGGTATTTCCATTTCAAAAACAAAATAAAATGAGGAAATTGGACTTAAAAATTCAGCATTTTAAAAAAGGAAATAAAAAGATAGAAAAAGAACCAAGTGAGCATTTGGGGCAGGGACGTGTTTACACAAGCGCTGACTGATGGGGACGCTGCCCGTGGGGTCGAGGGGCCGGGGTCCAAGCTGATCCCAGACCCCAGAGGGGTGAGGAAAGACGCCTGGGGCGTCCTGTCCCGGCACAGCTCACGCCCACCCTTACCTGCATCTTACGAAGCTGCTTCACCGCCTCCTCCTTGCCCTGCCCAGCGGCGGCCGTCTGGGCTTTCAGCTCCTCCAGCTCGGCCTCCAGCTTCTTGCGGGCAGCCACGGCCAGAGCCCGCTGCTTCCGCTCCTCGTCCCGCTCCACCTCGGCATCCCGCAGCTGTGGGGGGGGCCGGGTCAGCAGACGGCGCCCAGGCTCCCTCTGCGTGCTAGCACACGGCGTCTGCTCTGGAGCCCCCGCCCAGGCCGCCAGCCCTGCTCTTCCTGCCCCGACTCCCCCTACCTGGTCCCCTCGTCTCTGTCCCTACCCCCTAGCCCAGGTCTCATCCTCCTTTCTTGTCCAAGCCTCCTTTCCAGCCTCTCATCTCTCCCCTCCAGCCCATTCCCGCACGGCTCCAGAAGGGTCTCTGTACACCTAGAGCTGAGCCTACTCACAGCCCTGCCGTGGCTCACCAGTACCCCCAGGGCCAAGACTTGGACACTCATCCATGGCTGGGTCAAAGGGGCCAAAAAACCTGTGGCCTTGGGTCACCTGTTTGTCTCTCCTCCCTGCCTTCCCACCTTCTAGTACCCCTCACCCCAAGTCTGCTGCCCACGTGGCCCCAGGGGGGTCTTTCCAACACCCAGAGCTGCCCCTGCCCCTGCATGCTCAGCGCTCACCCCCCAGGACAGGGCGGACGTGGGAAACGCCCCCACTGAGTGAGTAACGGGTGAGCTGTGCGGAGCGGGGCGAGCAATGGAAGAGCGAGTGGGCGTGGACGGGCGCACGAGAAGACTGGGGTTGCGGGGTCGGGGGTTGGGTAAATGGGGAGTGGTTGAGTGGGGAGAGGAGACTGGGGGGAAGGGGCTGTTAGGGGATGGAGGAGTAGCTGGGTACAGGGCTGGTGGGGGCCGAGTGCTGGCTGGTGGAGGGGGTACTTGGGTGGCTGGGTGGCGGATGGGGCGGCAGGTGGGTGGATGGAGGACGTGTGACTGGGTTCGCAATAGGAAGCAGAGCACCTGGGGCTGATGGGCTGTGGAGAGGGAGGACGGTTTTGTGGGAGGAGGACGGTCAGCCAGCAGGAGGGACGTCAGTAGAAACACCAAGTAGCAGGTGGGGGACGAGACCCTTTGCTGCCCCTCTTGTGGCCCGTGTGCCCCACGGCACAGCCCAGCCGGACCTGCACCCCGTGGCCCCCCACCTGGCGATACCTGCTTGGCCAGCTGCCGCCGCCTCTCCTCACCAGCCTCGTCACGGCCCTGCAGGTCACGCTCGTGCTGCGTCTTGAGAGCCTGCACGGTCACCTCCAGACGCAGCTTGGCATCCTCTGCCGCCGTCAGCTCATCCTCCAGTTCGGTCACCTGCGTTCGCAGGTCGCTGGCTGCCTGCTCTGCCACCCGCCGAGCTCGTTCCAGCTCGTGCACCTGGTGGGGAGGGACAGTGAGCCCTGGACACCTGGGCCACTGAGGGAGGGGAGGCGAGGGTCTGGGGTGGAGTGGCGGGACCTTCGATGTAGGGCGGGAGCAGCAAGTTGATGGGCCCGTCCTGGTTCACCCATTCAACATTTACTGAGCACCTGCGTGCTACGTGCCTCATGCAGCATCATCCTAAGACATGGTCTGTGAATAACCTATGCACGATCGTTCTGCTATCTGAGCTCTGGAGAGCCCCATTCAAGTGTTGGTTAGGGCAGCTGACTCTCACTCATGGTGGCTTATTTCCTCGGAGTTTTGTCATTTTGGATTGCGAGCTCACTCACTGGGCTTCATCTTTAGGAATCCCGTGTGAAAATGAATGGAAGCATTTGGCTCCAGAGCTATCAGTGTTGGCTTCTGCCAGAGTCCCCTGGGTGTCACTGGCCCACTATCTACTTCTATTTTTTTTTCTGTTTGGGGGCTCCCAGATCTTTCAGGGAGTTGTAAATTAAGACCCCAAACACTCTGTGAAATGGGTCTGGGCTTATGAATTCCTCAGAGACCTGCACCTCTCCTCACTTAACTGCCACCTCCTCAGAGAAGCCTCCCTTGACCCATCGGGGCCGCCCTGTCGCCCCTGCTCCTGGCACTGGGCTCCTCACCTCCCCAGCCCAGGTCACAGTGGTCATTTGACATTGGCTTATGTGTCTTTTTGTGTAACACCTGCCGCCCGCACTGGACTGTGAGTTCCGCAGAGCAGGGGCTGTCTGTGGACCCACCGCTACCCACACGACGCTCACTAAAGTTCTTGTCGGTGACAGTGTTGACTTTCAGCCCCTAGAACGGGCCCGCCAGTCTCCCCTCACCCCCGATTTGGCACCTGCTGGTTTATTTTGTTTACTTGAAGGGATCAAACTTTCTCCCATCAACAGCTTATTTCCCGCAACGGCCTCTGGAGTCACAACAAATCACTTGATGGTTTTCCCAAGAGTCACACCTTAATGGTTCAAGAGTGAGCTGGGTTTTAGTTCCATATCCCTGGGGCTGCAGGGTGGGGGTAGTCGGGGGGATGGGGGTTCTCTCCAGGCCTGGCTAAAACCAGCACTGGATCAACACCAAAGCGTGTGGTGAAGACAAAGCCCTCATCCCTCAAGCTCCTAGGAGTATACTGTTGGGGACTAAGGAAATAAGGATGTCAGGAGGGTGTCTGCCCAGATTCTGCCACTAACTGCCACCATGAGTGAGGATGGCCTGTGTCCCTGGGCCTGGACTGGCTGCTGCTCTGTAAGTCCACTTAGCGGATGAGTGAAGGAAGGTTGGAGTGGGGGTGTGGGGGGCCACCCTGACCTTGCGCAAGGCTGGGACACTGGCTGGGGGAGGGGGCCTGGGGCACCCTCCACAGGCCCTGGAAGGATAGACGAGTCGGGGGAAGACAGAGGCCTGGTGGGGCGTGCGTGTGCTCAGTGGAGTTGGGGGTAGGTGAAGCAGGGAGTCCTCATTCTGTGAGTGTGTGCATGTGTGTGTAGCGTCTGTGTTTATGGAGCGTGTGTGCACACGCGCGTGCATCTGGGGACGGGTTCTCAAGCTGTGCATTATGGTAAATTCTTTTCACGTTCTGTCTTACTCTAAGTATTCACACACATGTGCGGTGAGCAGTTTTCTCACGTCTGCGTGTACACATGAACGTGTGTTGCATGGCAGATTCTCCTCACATGCCATATACATGGATGTGAGCACGTGCGCTTTGTGGGCAGCTCTCAGGCTGCGTGTGTGAACACGTGCTCGGTGGAACAGTCTCGTCACGTTCTAGTGTGTGAACGTGGACGTGTGTCAGGCAATGGCTCTCCTCTGTGTGTGTGTGAACACGTGTGCTTGGCGCAAGGTTCTCCTCACGCTCTGTATGTGTGTCTGTGTGCGTGCGTGTGCATGCATGTTTGGTGAACAGCTCTCCCGTTGCTCTGTGTGTGCATGAACACGTGACTGTAATGGCTGGTGTTTTGCATGTTCCGTGTGTAGACGCGTGCGTGCGTGTGCACGTGTCCCCCGTCATGAATGTGTCTCTGTGTCTCGGGGAGCGGGGATCGGGCTTACGCTCTTGCCGACGTCGTCCTTGCTGCTCAGCAGCGCCTCCAGCTCGGCGCGCAGGGCCCGGTTCTGCCGCTCCAGCTCCTCGCGTGCCTCCTGCTCCTCCTCCAGCGCCCGCGTGAGCGACAGCGCCCGAGCCTCGCGCTCCCGGCCCTCGGCCTCCGCGCGCTCGCGGTCCTCCACGGCTCGCAGCACGGCCGTCTTCTCCTCTGCCAGAAGCTTCCAGGTTGAAGGAGACGGGTGGGGGGAAATAGATTAGCTGAAAGGAGTGTACAAAGGGGACGGGGAAGAGGGAGCAGCCAGGGACAGAGAGAGACAGAGGGAGAGACAGACAGAGGCAGAGACACCGGAGGGAAGCAGAAGGGTTAAAGTTGCAACCGCGTCCCAAACCAGCTCTGCTCTTGAACGGATCGGACTGATCGGTTTCTCACTCTACACACCCAACAGAGGCAAGTGTGTTCCTTCCTTTTGGGTAGTGGCAGAAAAAAATGTGTATATCTTTTAAATGGAATTCAACTTTTACTGTTTTTTTTTTTTAAAGACACAGTCATTGGCAAACAAACTTGTAAGACACGCAAAGAAGAAAAGAGAACAGGACTCATAGTTAAGAGAAAAAGCAGTCCATTAAAACAGATCCACCGATGACCTGCGTATGGGAATCATCACGCAAGGGCTTTAACTATGATGCGTGAGTTTCAGAACAAGATGCAGGTAACGGGTGAAGAGACAGGGTTATCTCAGGAGGGATTTGCAACTGCAAAACAGAACCACACGGAAATGCCAGAACTGAGAAATACGATATCTAAAATTAAAAAGTGATTGGATGAAATTTAGAGCAGACTGGGTACATGAGAAAGATCAGTAAACTTGAAAATAGGTCAACAGAAATTAATTATCTAAACAGAGTAAAGAAAGAAAAGATTGTAAAAAAAAACTAACAGAGCTTTAATAACCCATGAGAGAGTATCAAGCAGTCAAACATACATGCACTTGGAGTCTGAGAAGAAAGGTGAAGAAAGCGGGAAGGAAAGCCAGGCCCAGTGGCTCACGCCTGTCATCCTAGCACTGTGAGAGGCTGACGTGGAAGGATTGCTTGAGGCCAGGAGTTCAAGAACAACCTGGGCAACATAGCAAGACCTCATCTCTACAAAAAATTAAAAAGTTAGCTGAGTGTGGTGGTGCACACCTGTAGTCCCAGCTACTCAGGAGGCTGAGGCGGGAGGATTGCTTCAGCCCAGGAGTTCAACGGTGCAGTGAGCTGTGATCACACCATTGCACTCTAGGCTGGGCGACAGAGTGAGACCCTGTCTCTAAAAAAAAAAGGGGAAAAGGAAGAAATAAAACTGTTTTATTCATGGAAAATATGACTATCTATGTGAAAAATCCAATGAAATCTATAAAAAACTACTAGCACTAATAAGTGAGACTAGCTAAGATTGTAAGATATGAGATCAACATACAAACATCGATTGTATTTCTATATACTAGCAATCAAAATTAAAATAAAAGCAATATCATTTAAAATAGTATTAAAACCATGAAATACTTAGAAATAAATCTGACAAAAGATGTGTAAGATGTACACTGAAAACTCCAGAGCGTTTCTGAGATAAATTGAAGACCTAAATAAATGGACGTAGATACTTCCTGACCAGAAAACTCAGTATTATTAAGATGTCAATGCATCCCAAACTGATGTGTAAATTCAATGCAATTCCAAATCAAGAGGCTTTTTTATTTTTGGTAGAAACTGACCAATTAATTCTAAAATACATGTGAAAATGCAAAGGACCTAGAAGAGAAAAAAACAACTTCAAAAAAGAAGAAAAAGGACTTAACACTACCTGATTTTCAATATGTACACAAAAACAAGTGAGTGGAGAACAAATGTTGTTGAAACAATTGGACACCTATCTTCTCAAAAATTAAATTGGAGTCATGATAGCACTTTACATAAAAATTAACTCGAAATGGGTCACAGACCTAAATGTAAACCTAAAACTGGAAAACTTCTAAGAAAAAAAATAGGAGACAACTTTTGTGACCTTGAATTAGGCAAAGATTTTTTAGGTAAAACAGCAAAAGCACAACCCACAAAATAATAAATTGGTCTTTATCAAAATTGAAAACTTCTGCTCTTTGAAAAACTCTATTAGGAAAACGCAAAGCCACGCCATAGACTGTACGAAATATCTGCAAAGCATATATCTAACAAAGAACTTGTATTCAGAATATATAAAGAGCTCTCGAAATTCAATAATAAAAAAAGAGCTGGGTGTGGTGGCTTGTGCCTGTAGTCCCAGCTACTCTGGAGGCTGAAGTGGGAGGATGCTTGAGCTCAGGAGTTTGAGGCTGCAGTGAGCTATGATCATGTCACTGCACCCCAGTCTGGGTGACAGAGCAAGATCCTCTGTCTAAAAAAATAAAATAATAAGAAGCATACAACCCAATTAACAAATGGGCAAAAGATCTGAACAGACGCTTCACCAAAGAAGACAAATGGATCTTTTCATAACTACATGAAAAAATGTTCAACATCATCGGTCATTAGAGAAATACTAATTCAAGCCACTCTATACCTATTAGAAAGACTAAGGCTTCATTTGTAATTGTCCCGAACTGGGAACAACCCAAATGTTCATCAACAGGTTAATGAATATCAAAATGTGGTTTATCTATACAGGAATGATACTCAGTAGTAAAAAAAAAGAATGAATTATTGATCTATGCAAAAACATGGATGAATCTCATCCAAAACGAAGCACATCCAAAAAGAGATTTATATGAAAAGAATTTATATAGAATTCTAGAAGACGCAAAAAAAAAAAAGGCCTCAATGATCCGTGGGACAGTATTAAGCAATCACATAGATATGTGTTTGACATCCAAGAAGAAGGGGAAAGAGAGAGAGAGTGGGAGAGAAAAATGTTTGAAGGAATAATGGCTCAAAATTTCCACATGACACCAAAAACATCAACTCATGGCGGCAGGAAGCTCAGTGAACCCGAGGCAGGATAAACACAAAAACGCACAGGCGTATCATAGTCAAACTGCTAGAAACCAAACAAAGAGAAAAATTTTAGATCAGCTAAACACACACACACACACAGACACACACACACACACACACACACACACACACACACACATTGTATTACCTACAGGGAAATAGTAATTTAAGTGACTGCTATTAATAGCTTTTCATCCGAAACAGTGCGGGCCAGAGGTAATGGAATGACATCTTCAAAGTGCTAAAAGAATTAAACTGTTTACCTAGAATTCTACATCGCATGAAAACATCTTTCAAATATGAAGGCAAAATAATGACACCTCTCACACCCACCACATTACTATTAATATTATTTTTGCTTTGTCTATGTTGAGAACCTGCTGTGTTTTTTTTTTTTTTTTTTTGAGACAGAGTCTCGCTTTTGTTGCCGAGGCTAGAGTGAGTGCCGTGGTGTCAGCCTGGCTCACAGCAACCTCACACTCCTGGGCTCAAGCGATCCTTCTG